AAGAAGGAAGGACGAGTTGTGAACCCCATTTGTTAGATCCTCAGCTCTACGGTATGATCAAAATCTTGGTTTACTTCACATCATCAAATTTCCTAATCCCTCTATGCATTTGTGAAGCTCCTTCAATGTAATGGTCTATTTTAAAATAAAGGAAAATTTGTCTTCCCAACAACTTTTCCCCTACATGTCTTACATTTTTGTCTAAGAACCTAGCACTTGTACCTCTGCATTTCAAATACATGTTGGGCATTTTTCTGCTATTTTTAATCTACTGGGCATTCTGGACATTCCTAGTATTTATAGTTTACTAATTTATTTCCTTGTGTAATCTCACCAAAGTGTGGCATGCTGCATATATTTTGAATTCTGATACCACCCACCTAGAAATTACTCAACAGGTGCGACCCATATCAGTAACTTCAACTCTGGATAAGGTTAAATATAGTGTTGAATAAGCTCCTTTAAACTGAGTTCCGTTTTTTAGGATGAGTTTAGTCTCAAGTTTATTAAGAAACATAACCATGACTTTGAGACTTAGAATGAACGTGAATCAAATCTCTCAATAATTATGCTAATAAATTGGTACAAGGCAAGTTCATATTTCTCTTAAATATGTGTTCATTAGCCTATGTAACTCGAAAGGTTTATTGTTAAATTTTTTTCACCTATTTCGAGATATAATTGAATTTTTCTTTATATTATAAGGTAATATAGAGAATCCCATAAAAAAGCATATTATTATTCTCTAGGACTTTGAAGTTATCTTATTGATGAATTCCTTCAATTTCTGTTTAATCCATTTTCAGATATCCACACTTCACACAATCATATCCCATTGTATCAACAAAGGAAAATGTATCCCTTCTTTTCCAATCTTCTACACAGACTTCAAATCTCTTCCTTTGCCATTTCCTTTAGGATTTAGCATCATCTCTTGTCTCCCCAATCCCTGGGTCCTCCTCTCTCCTTGCTCCTTCCTCTTTCTCTACCAACTTCCCTCCTTCCCAAAACTCCCTTCACTCTTCCTTCCTCTCAAACAAACAAATATATATATTTGTACATATATATATACATATGTGAGTGCGTGTGTATACATATATAATTTTTCTCTTCAATAGGAAAACTCCTAGAAAGATTATTCAAGGCTCAGTGGATAGGTCTACCTCTATTACTTTTTAATACATGGTTACCCTATAGAAGACATTTGCATAAAGGTCATTAATGTCTGTCCAATTGCTAGAACCAACTTCTTCGTTCCAACACACAAACTAGTTGGCTAAGTAGCATTTGACAATATCTGCCACTTTCTCCTCATCTTACTTTGCCCCATCTCCCTGGGTTAGTCCAAATACTCCAGTTTAAGTTACCATAGCTACCCTAAGGATCCACAAACCACATCTGTGGATCCACCCTCTTAAAGATGGGCTCATTCTCTCAGCAATCTTTCCTTTTCTTGACTCTACACCTTTGCTCATCACATATATATTGGTATTCCCCAATGTGAGAACCTCAAATTTCTTCCCTCCTGATTTTATACAGGCCTTCTGTTGAGATCTCATCCTTTTTCATGGCTTCAGTCATTACCTGTGTACCAGGTATATTCTAATACCTTGCTTGTCACCCCTAGGAACACACACCTAATTGCCTGAAGTCACCTTTCTGCTTGATGTCCCAGTGGATAGATCAAAGTCTACTTTCAAAATTTGAATTTGTCATCCTCCCCTTTCTACCTTTAGTTGTGTTCTCCCTCTATAGTAATCATGTCTAACAAAACTTATCAGGCCATATATGTGGGATCATTTTATACTTCCTATATTCTTCACCTCCCACATCCAAATGGAGACTAAAACACATACTCTACAATTCCCAGAAAGCACCTAGGGTGATCTGTTTTTAAATATTAACATCAGATCATGCTTCGGCCCAGCTCTAAAAGTCTTCCAAATGCTCCCCAACCAACTTAGAATAACATACAAACTCCTTACTTTGGCCCTAGATGATCAGGCTTCCATCATTCCATCCAAACACCTCACTGTCCTCAAACCACAGCAGTCTTCTATCTGTTGCAGGTATGCACCAAGCTCACTCCCTTCGTAGTACTTTTTGTTTTTGCTTCTGCAACATTGTTGGTATTATTTATTTCAATATTTGTCCCTCTGATCTCAAATATCCCTACATCTTGTCCCTCAGGTGCTCAGCAAATATTGGCTCAGTATGGATTACCTGGTTGTTATTCATCAGAATATTTATCAATGTATTATGGATCCATGCCACGAGAGAACTTATATTCTTAAAGGCTTAGAACAGTCCAATAAAGATTATCAAATTTGAAATTTAAAAACAAAGACAATTTGTGACTAGAAACGGTAGCACACCTAGTTTTACCTTACCTTTTGTTATTAAACACAAACAGCAAGCAAAGATCACAGAAGATGAGAAATAGAAAAGGGCGTAGTGAAAGGAGTTCTGTGAGTAAGGACAGAACTCACCGTTTTGGTTGTTAAACAATATAGAAGCAGGCAACATCCTGTTTGGAATAGATATATCAAATTCATAAGCCTAGCCATGCTTTCTCATGCTCTTTCCTCTACTTCCTCATCTCAGTTAAAACCTGGAATTTTTTTTTTAATTTTATTTTTTTTTCAGCATAACAGTATTCCTTGTTTTTGCACCACACCCAGTGCTCCATGCAATCTGTGCCCTCTCTATTACCCACCACCTGGTTCCCCCAACCTCCCACCCCCCGCTGCTTCAAACCCCTCAGATTGTTTTTCAGAGTCCATAGTCTCTCATGATTCACCTCCCCTTCCAATTTCCTCCAACTCCCTTCTCTCTAACTCCCCTTGTCCTCCATGCTATTTGTTTTTATTCATTAATAATATAGTACCAATGCCAGTTCTTAAGAACAGAGGCAAAAATAATTCAACCAAAAAAGCTACATTTTTGTCATATGTATTATTCTGAATAAACACATGGAGGGCATGCCAATTTCAGATTCAAAATTCAACCACATCAGAAAAAAATGAGTTTGTTTGTTTTTTTTAATGTAAAAAATGAGAGGATACAAGTCACTCTCTACTCAAAATTCAATGAGATTCTGACTAATACTATGTGGCTAGAAAAACTACCTTTTTCACAGCATTTACATTTCTTAGGCTTTGGTTTTTATGTGTTTTATTTTTTCAAATCAAAAGCAGAAATATTAACATAACACAAACACTAGATGTTATTTGACATTTGGGAGCTAATAAGGAGTAGGATGCAATAAAAAATTAACATAGCCTAATACTTATGAGAATATTTTCACAGATTTACAGATCTTTGGGACAGATGTTTCAGATAAATATCTAGGAACTAAAGTCCTATCCATAGTTATGAGTTTTGGAGATGCTCTTTCCCCACCCCAGCCGCCTTCTGTCATGGTTGTTTACTGGACTCTCTGTAATCAGAATCAAATTGGAATGACAGCACAGAAGATGTGTTTTAGTATCTAGAACTTCTTTACAATTGAAATAATGAAAGAAAAACCCAGTGTTGAGTTTAAGAAACATAATATATGATACTCAGGGACTACAGAGCTCTTTAAGCTAAAGTCCTAAAAATCTTTAAGCAGGTGTTAATTCATGAATGCATCCTAATAGAGTTTGTAACAGCACTATTATGTATTTCCATATCAGTTTAGGTAGTAAAGAATGTCCATGGTTATATGTCATTATCATATCCTAATTAAGGCTCATTATACAGATGAGAAAGCTGAGACTCAGAGAGGTTACATCTCTTTTACAGTATCACACAGTGATTATTTTAGGAGGGTCTGAAGGTGTTACAATTACTTTCAGTAAAACTATAATTAATTTCCAGAGAGTCACAAATGCACCCAGAATAATTAGATCAGGAATTTCCTTAAAGCTGAAGTATTTTACAGAAAATTGTTTTTTATGGCGATTTTTTTCATAAGTTACACAGAATTTATGACATTGTAGTAGTTTCTTAGAGCATTTATTAATCACACACAGACACCAGATGTGCTAGTTAGTCACTCTTCAAGAATACATTCCTTTTATTATTTTGGATTTCAGTATTCTGACCTTAAGAAAAGTAAGTCAGCACACCAAAAGAGTTCACTTTTCTTTTCTTTTTTTTTTTTTACTCTTCCAATCTCTGACAATTAAGAACATTCATCAATTCGCTTAAAATGCCTATTTGGTGCTAAAAAGAGTCTTGAAGGAAGCCTCATCTTATGGATTTTGGATATCACTCCTGATTATATCCACTGATATAATTTTAATGAAGGCATTCGTACTTCAGGTTTTCCTATAAAATTAAGTTGTGGCTATTTAATTTAGAGAGCAGTGAGTTTTTCTCTTAGCATTTTATCCATCTATTTTTTTTTTAATTACAAAATTTTAAGCTTTACCATTTGGTAAAGATAAAAAGAGGGCTGGGGAAGACACACACCTCTAGATCAACAGCTTTCTGGAAAATGCTATGAATCATATCTCATGATCAGTCACTCCTCAGAAAACTTCCAGCAGCATGCCTTTGGAGCTATTTCCAAAAGTGCTTAAGAGTCCATGTGTTAACACAGGACTCTGTTATGAACAAAGAAAATACCATTTATATATATTTTAAGATGCACATGGCAAGTTCTGTTCTTCAAACCAGTTGTTCAGACAAAAAGGCTCCACTTAAAATTGGAAATGGGATTCACTGCCAGCAAAACCAGAGTTAAATTATTCAGATACCAGAACAACAACAAAAAGTCAAGATCTGAGAAAACACCTGGAGATAAGTTATTCAGGAGTTACACATATTCAACTGTGCTGATGCTATCTATCACTTGTTCATAAATTGCATCCAAAGAAATACATATGACAGAATGTGATCAAATGATTTCTTAAGCAGGAAGGCATGCCAAAGAAATTTCTAGTCCATTTATAAAGGTAGTTTAACCGGAAGTGAAGATGAGCATTATATTTTAGAATAAATATGATTCTTACCATCTGAGATTGACTCCTAGGACATCCATTGATATCTTCAACTTTTTCATTTGCTAAAGCCAAGAAATAAAATAAAAGAGAGAAAAAAAGAATGACATGCTTAAGCAATGAAGTGAAACACAAAAAAAGGAGACTAAGAAAAACAAAACAAAACAAAACAAAACAACAAAACAAGCACAATGCTGCTGCTACATTCACTCTGTCTCCCAAGCCATGTACGAGAGGACACGCTTGTGAGCTGCTGCCAATTCCATATGCACAAATCAGGCAAAAAAAAAAAAAAAGTGAGTGAGAAGGAAGTTGCTGCTAATTCTTTAGCCCGTGCCAAATGACTGCTGACATGAAACCTTTCACAATTGTCCCTGCTGGATCAGGATACAGTTTCAAGGAATCTCCGAGTATATGAGTCGCTCTAACTAACAAAATGCGCACATGGGAGACATATGGTTTAATGAAGCGCTCGTTTCTGACAGTTCAGTGTATGTAAAGATATAGTTCTAGCCATTTAAAAGTATAGCCAAACTTCTTTTTTCCAACACTCTCACATAAACATTTTTAATTAAACCCTGGGAGAGCTACGTGGATCTCAGAGACTCATGGACAGAGTTCCTATGCATTCAACTGAAATTGTGTTTCACCAAGGCGGGTGGGGGCAGAGACTTCCACGGTTCTCCCCAGAGGGCAGGTCTTACCGATGATCTGGATGATTTCAGCTAGCAGGACTCCATCTGCAATGTCTTGTTGCAAATCCTTGATCAGCCGCTTGTGGCCCGATTTTGCTAGGTAGTGGTTGGCCCAGTCAGTATAAATCTGTTGAACAGAGGGAGAGAAGAAGTGCGATGGTGTGAGAGAAAATAGAGACAATAAAAATGCTTAAGACAAATGTTGGATTCAAAGGGAAGCTATTCTGGATCACATTCCAGTTTAAGAAGTCATAGCTCAAAAGGAAATAGTTGTAAAATAATTTTATACAGCTCTCTCTCCCACTTATCTCTTGTTTCAAAGGAGGATGATTCACTCTCTTTCAAAACCAGGGACTCGTCACTTGTGACACAGCAAAACTCCCTTCCCGGATGACTACTGAGGAAACTCCTGTTTGCAAATCAGTTGGGTTTTCACTCTTTTCCTTGGTGCTGTCATACTGAAAATAATCCTGCCTGTCCTTGTAAAAGGAAACCACCTGGACTGATTTATACAGGAACCTATTATGAACATTTCTGTTTCTCCAAGACTTTATTGGATTTGTCATGTGAGATACTGTATGTGACAATATTTTGGCACCACGCTATGAAATAATCGCAAATGCCAAAGATATTTTACTTGGACTGTCATCTCCCATTTAAGCCTCTTAAAATGTGTTTATATAAGAAAAGAGAGGAAGCAAATACAGTTATTACATAAAAATTACAAAATAGAATCGAGGAGTGGGTTATAAATTACAAGGTTGGCAGTATGGCAAAGTAGAGGTGACTCTTCCATGGTAAATTAGGACATAGAGAAAAGCTGGAATTAAATAAGCATTAAGATGTTTCAGCTTTATGAGTGGCTCCTATAAATATATTAGTAAGTTTATAAAAAGGCAGACTAAGAAGAACACAGTATCTGAAATGACAATAGAGGAGAGGACCTGATTGAGAAATATACGTATAAAAATGTGCTACAGAAACATGAAGTGGGAACATAGTGGAACCTGGACACAAGAAGTGAAGGGAAGTGGCACCTGGTTGGCTCAATCGGTTAAGTTTCCAACTCTTGGGTTCAGCCATGTCCTGAACTCAGGGTCCTGAGATGGAACCCCTACTCAGGCTCTGAGCTCAGCAGGGAGTCTACCTGAAGATTCTCTCCCTCTGCCTCTCCCCCGCACCAAGGTTCCTGCATGCCTGCCAGTTCTTTCTCTCTCTCAAATAAATAAATAAATCTTTAAGGAGGAAAAAAAAAAGGAGTGAAGCGAAGGGCCTTCCCCAGAGAAGTGACCAGATAAAGAAAGGCAGAGTGGCAAAGGAATCAAAGACACGGTTGAAAAATTTATAGTTAAGGTAGCAAGTCTTATATTAGGACAAATTAGACTGGAAAGATAAATTGAATTTTTTAGTCATAAGCACTGAATGCCAAGCAAATTATTAAAAAAATTATTACTTTTTGTTTTTAACAAGACCAATACATGCTTTTGTAAACATGAAACAAAATAAATCAGAAGTGTAGAAACTAAGAAGTAAAAGTTTCCCCACAACTTGCAACCCCTACTCATTTTTGAATACTTTGATATGAAAAATTCTAGAATTTTGTTCCATGACTACACAATTTACCACATGACACCACGTTACACACCTTCACATACAGAAACACACGACAGGATTTTTAACCAAAGATGGCTCAAATTTCACATATCATTCTGTGCTTCTCAACTTTTTACATAATGATATTTTAATAACACTGCTACAGCCATTTTACCTATATGTACTTCAATATTTTTGATGTTATATTGGACATAATATCAATCCTCTTGTTGAAAGATATTTAATTTGTTTAAATATGTTCCTATCGAATCTAAAGTTGTAAGTGACATCCTTAAAATGTAGCTTTGCACACTTAACACCCTAGTAATTTTATAGGACCAAAACCTAATAGTGGGACTGTTAAGTTTTTTTTTTTTTTTAATGGATCCTAGGTACAACATTCCAAAATAAAACTTAGAAGTCAGAGAAAGTACTTCCTTAGTTTAGAAAATATAAAGTGGCATCTTAATGCAATGTAGTGGTGATTAAATTTCCTAAAAGACTATAAATAATTGGAAGCATCCAACCGGATAAGAAAAAAATATGCGCAGCAATATTATACCTCCTTTCCCTACATTCATGATCCTCTTTATATCAAAGATATTAGTGGAGAAAAGTTACTTGCGTATATGTCTGCCAAATTAGAAAACAAAAACATGGTTCTTAGATACTCTTACTTGGGGATCATTTTCCCCAAAATTTTATTCTACTTGTATTTTCTATTTTGCACTAGAAAAATATATTTTTACAAGGATATACTGCTCAGAATCCAAAACGTTGAGGACTTTCCCCTTATCGATATATCATTCAAATGATAGCATTAACTGTTGGCCTTCTACTACAAATTTCAGATTGAGTCAGACTCGATTTGTGCCCTTATCCCCATAGGCAGTAAGTTATAAGGACCAGCTGACTTTAAAGCATCCCACAAAGATGAAGAACATGAGTTCTGGAGACAGTACACCTGGCTTTAGGCCTAGCAGACCTCTTACCGCCCTCTGCCCACCCACCAACCCAAGATGTTGGACAAGTTTCATATCCTTTCTAAACCTTAATTTCCCCATCTGCAAAATAAGCGTGATAATATTTCTTACATTGTGGGGCTGTGTCAGGACTAAATAAGATAGCACTTGTAAAGTCCCCTTCACAGAGTTAGACCTGAAGAAATGTCTGCTCTTATTATCGTCATTATGGCATCTAGTTGTATTAGCCACGGTGGCTTTCCAGCAAGTATTTATTAAGGGTATTGTTTTATAGACTTTAAAAAATTTGAGAGGAGGGATGCCTGGGTGGCTCAGTGGGTTAGGCCTTTGCCTTAGGCTCAGGTCATGATCTCAGGGTCTGGGATCGAGCCCCACATCGGGCTCTCTGCTCAGCGGGGAGCCTGCTTCCTCCTCTCTCTCTGTCTGCCTCTCTGCCTGCCTGTGATCTCTTTCTCTGTCAAATAAATACATAAAAAAATCTTAAAAAAAAAATTTGAGAGGATTGGCAGAAGATTGAAAGAAAATGGACTCCTTGATTCTTTCTTTCTTTTTTTATTTTTTTTTTTAAGATTGTACTTATTTATCAGAGAGAGAGAGAGAGAGAGAGAGAGAAGCAGACTCCCCAGTGTGCAGGAAGCCCCACATGGGGCTTGATCCCAGGACCCTCGGGTTATGATCCAAGCTAAAGGCAGACACTCAACCCCTGAGCCACCATCCTGCCAACCCAGACTCCTTGCTTCTGACACCACTCATGTCTCTGACTCCTCCTTCTTTCTGATTCACTGTGGCCACCGATCTGTCTGCCATCCAAACTCAGAGGCATGAATCTAATCCCAAGGTAGCAGTGTTCTCATTTAGGTCTGCAACGCCCCCATTGTAATCCACAGCCACCAGTTTCTATGTTGCAAGTACTCTGTTTTACGAAGGAACTAAATCGTGCACAAAACACTTACTCAAATACACACAGAATGGAATGTATTAGAAATGAAAATAAGAATATTTTCATTCTCCTAATGCATTCCACCAGTATCTTAGCCTCTATCTAAATTACTTCTGGAACTTAGGTGAGAAAACAGATGGGAAACTAGCTGATTGGCTTCAAGACTGACTGGAAAAGCCTCTGATTTAGCTCATGAAATGTTTTTTACTTGGCCCAGGATTTCTTCCAGAGGATTCCCAAGCCTAAGTGCTTTGACTTTTCTCGCATCTTTAATATGTGAAGCATTGCTCAGACCATAATCACTGACTTCAGTTGCAACCAGCAAAATCAATTCAGACTATATAAATAAACTGAAAATAAATCTCCATTTAAAAAAGACCTTGTACTTATTCTTTCTTAGTATGTGTAAAAGATACTTAAGCCCCTTCAAGCAAATTAGTACCTTTCAAAAAGATGTTATAACCTAGATGAAATATGAAACAATTACAAAGTAACTTATAAATATATTTTAATATAATATTTAAACTTGTTTTTGTTGTTGAAAACCTTATATATATAAATTGGTGAAAAAAGTGGAAACATGAGGTATATCTTTAATGAAGATAGTCTTCAAGCAAAGGGCAGAGAGTATATAAATATATGCAAAACTTATCAGTAAAATTATTGTACAACTCTGATAAGAGAGGTTACAAACAACCTTGTCAACTGTTATATTAGAATTAACTCTTAAAATAAATACAACAGAATGGTAAAATCATGTCCAGATTTTTGATCTGAACTCCAAAGTTGCCTTTGGTTCATTGCCCCCCACCCCAACACATACACAAATCACAATATTTAATCCCTTAGCCTCACTTGAAATGAGCTACAAAATGAGTGGTAATGATTTCTGTAGGATTATCCTATAAAGTAACAACTATAGGTTTTTAGTGAACAAATTGATATAATTGGGCACAATATCAAATTAATCATAAATTAATATTTAGTCATCAAGGCCTGGCTGAAACTTTAAACAAAATTTATCACTAAACATCTGAAGCCAGTTTTCCTCACCTTTTTAACTCCAATATTGTAACTATAAATGTCATCTCATCTGGTAAATATATTTTAGGAAATTCTGAAAAATTAATGAGATTAGACTTATCAAACAATACTTAGAAGTTCAGGTAAAATCATATATATATTAATTCATTTACCATAATTAAATATGATAAAAATCAAAGGTATGGAGGCATAATTTATATTTCATATGAATCAGCATGAATTTTAGGACCTATTATGCAATATATGTATCCTTTGAGGAACATTCTATATTGTTGGAATTTCTGCTCTGTCACTTAATGTCCATGTGGGCACTGACTGAACATTGTTTTCTCTCAGTGTCAGAGCTTTTGTCATCTGTAAAATGGCAATCATAGTATTACCCACAAATGGGATTATTGTGTGGATTGAATGAATTTATACTTTTGGAACACAGCCTTTCACTTAACAAGTATTTGTCAAATGCTGAATATTATTATTCTCTATTTTAATATATACTATATTATATTATAACGAGATTATTATGAGCTATTACAATTTTCAAATCCTTAAATCTTAGTTACCTGCCCA